CACACACACACTTTGTAATTGAATAGCTTTTAAAATGACAGAAGTAGGGTATCGAAACTGGTAAATGATCATTCATATCTCTGAGCATTGCGCGTGTGTATGTGTTCTTAATTTTTAAGCACAATGTTACAATTATCCCTGCTCTCCTTGGGGAGGTGAGGTAGGAATAGGACTTCAAAGAGGAAATATACTTATCATTTATGTTGGGTCTCAATTATGTATCCACACACACAACGCCATGGTCTGGGGCGGAGCGGATGTCTGGACTAGGCTTACAAAATATCACACAATGCGTGTTGCAATAGCAGCGAGTACTCGATTTCGATGCGACTGACTCATTAATCAGCCATATCGAAACCGACAGAGGACGAGTGCATGATCAGCTTCTCCGACTGGTGACCTATTTTTTGACCGGGGGGCGAGTTCAGGATCCCCCAAGAAAACTAATACATGTATTAATAACTTTTCCAATTTTTTCGCGGATCTGCACCAAACTGGAGATAAATTATGTTTGGTCATCCGGACGCTATAATGCTCACACTTGAACCGGGCGTAGGGGATACCGCTTTATTCAACTTTTTGGGCCGTCAATGAGTCTGGGACACCTTGTACGAGTATGTCCGGTCAGTAACAGACCAAGAGCAATGTTGCAGCACTTTCGAACCATCATACAAGAATAATCAAAAACACGGATTTATTTATTTCGTAGTACACATATTGCTTCTTGTCTCTTTACGTCTCAGATAAAGGCTATTTCACAGTAACCGACGGGGCATTTGGACTATACTTTCTTACAATGATAACACTGTAATTCAAAATCAACTTAAAATGGTCAGAACATTTGAAAGGCATATTATTCAGTATAATATTAAATGCACTTATTTGGAAAAAAAAAAGTACTTACTTTATGCTAATTCTGTGAGGTGTTTAGTTTTGGTTAACTGATGAGAAAAATTGGGAATTTATTCTGTCCCGTCAGTTACGGTGAAATAGCCCATAAAGAAGCACAATTACACACCAAAAAAAACCCTGTACGAATGACGAAGTTATGTGTATTTTGGTGTACCAAAAACATCGCGTCTTCAATCGTTGTGCGTCACCAGTGGGTTGACTGATGCGCAAGTTTAGGGTTGGCTTTTTCAGGTTAAGTTTGATGTTCCCGTTTGCTCTCTTTCTGTGTTTGATTGATGCCGATGTAGACGGCCAGTGACATTCTGATGGCAACTCGGGAAATGTTCACTCTTTCGTGCTGCCTGCCTCGGCGCGCCGATGCAATGACGTCTTTAAAAAAAAAAATCCCCCTCCCGCACTAGTTTAGACATGTCGCTACCTTAGAATTACGAAGTTCTATCTGACACTTTTGGCCGCTTTTAGTTACCAAGACCAGGAGGTCAGAAAACAAATTTGAATAGTCTATCTTCTCCAAACTCTAAAAGAACTATGATGGACAGATTGATTCTCTTTTACTTTTATTACAAGTTATATGCTTAATAATCGGTCAAAGTAAGTGCCGCAAATTCACTTTTATATAACACTGTCCTCTTCACAATGGTTTGGGGCTGCGATGATTGTGTTCGCCGTTCGCAAACGGCTTGAAGAACGAACATGCTCCTAAATGGGGGACATTAATGGTGTGCAAGCTGTGTGAGCAGATTGGTTTCGGAACAGACAGACCTCTTTGCTTCCCCGCTCTACCTGCAGTGTAAACAAACAATGTCACAGCTCCACCATGCCAGGGTATCTCCCCCCCCTCCCCTCCCCTCCCCTCCCTGCCTTTCTTTCTTTCTTTTTACTTAAGCGCACTCCTTTCTTTCTCCCCATCTTTGCTTTACCTTTTTTCCTGGTCCCAAGGCCACATTTGAGAGGTGTCAAAGTCTAAAGT